AGAAGTTCTATCTTTTTCTTACCATTCAGCAGTCCAATTTTGATAAAGAGAGCCTCTCACCGTTTGATCTTAATCTGATGTCTCAAAATATTTTATTTTTAGTTTTTTTATACAAATTGTATGAATATGAAATTTGGTACGTGTCATCTTCTCATTAGAGTACACCTATAAAAAATATTAAAAATAATTTTTTGATAAAATATAATGACTAAAATACCTCTTGAAACTTTCAAAGTATTTTGGTCATTTTATTTTATTGAAAATATATTTTATTTTATTTTTCTCTAGTGCGAGTTTAATAGAGAAATGGAAGTCCAAAATTTGGTGTCAAAATAGTTTATAGAAAAAAATTTAAAATAAAATAATGTAGAGACGTGACATTGTGATTGGAGCAATCTTAGCCCTCCATTCAGAATGGATGGTTGGATAAGGGGAGGATAGAACTTCGAAGCTGTAGAGGAAACATAGAAAGCTTACCCTTAAAAAAAAGCGAAAGGTTTCTATACTCCCCCTATAGCATAGAAGATCTATGCTTCCCCTACCAACCAGCCGTTAAATTTTGATCAAGAGAGCCACTCACCATTTGATCTTAGATCCGACGTCTCAAAATATTTTATTTTTAGTTTTTTTAATGCAAGTTGTATGAATATGAAATTTGGTAGATGTCATCTTCTCATTGGGGCGCACCTATAAAACATATTAAAAATAATTTTTTGATAAAATAAAATAACCAAATACTGCTTGAAATTTTCAGGGGTATTTTGGTCATTTTATTTTATTGAAAATATTTATTTTATATTTTTCTCTAGTACGAGTTTAATAGAGGATTGGACATCCAAAATTTGGTGTCAAAATAGTTTATAAAAAAAAATTAAAAATAAAATAGTGTGGAGACGTGACATTGGGATTGGAGCAATTTAACCCCTCCATTCAGAATGGACGATTGGATAAGGGGAAGTATATAAGTTTTATGCTGTAGGAGAAGCATAAAAAGCTTGTCCGAAAAAATAATGAAGGCGTGCTGATTCCAAATATGAACTGTGGCAGGGCACCAAATAGTCACACCATGTGACTTGAGAATATATATTTTTCTCTCCAATCTCTATAAATAGAACTTAATTTTGTTCCTAAAACTAAACTCTTCTATATACCATTTGTTCTTTTACTTTTTCTCTCTAAAGGCCCAGGTAATTTTTGGCACTTCGAGTGCTTACATTCCTATGCAGTAAATAGGATAACTTTTGACAAAGTTTTATATTGGTTGTTTGCCTAACACAACTCAATCCCTTTGTCCGAAATTTAAAATCCTCACCCTTTGTAAGCCAATAACAAGATGGAAGTTTTCAGGTATCCCAAAAGACAAATTAACGTAAAGAACTATATGCATGTTAATGAAGGACATATTATTGAGATGTCATATTGAGGTGCCAGAATAAAAAAAAACATATGTTTTTCCCCACTTAATATTTATCAACAACTGCCACAATAAGACATATCTTAGCAACATACAATATAACAGCTTGTTTTCCATTTTTGTTTTTAAGGCTATTAGTGGTATGAGGCTAAAGCAACTTTTCGGCCATAATTTGGGTCAAATTACAACCATATATATAGATGATTGTTCGAGATTTATAATTAAAAAAAAGAAAGAGTGGTCCCTTGACAACAATGAACCACCGAAAAGTCATGGTTTCCAGCTACCCTCGCATCATTTCACCCGCTCTCTTCCCTCCCAAAGCTTCATGTCTTTAAACCAAACGATACACTCTAAAAGAAACAATCGATTTTTCCAGTTTTGACGGGGCAACTTTATCCTAGAATAAGGTGGCAACTTTATTATTTATTAATTTCCCCCTATTTATTTAATATAAGAAAAAGTTTATATAAGATTGCAATTTTAAAATGTAGAATTAAAAATACATTTAAAAAATCCATTGGAAAAAGTTGTTTTAATGTTGAAAAACCTTATAATTGATCATCTTGACATCGAGATGTATGCATATGAAAAAAAAAAAAAAAAAAAGATTTTGAGTCCAAGAAATAGTGCATCTTGCAACACATTATCTAGACCGTCCATTTGAAAGACTTTCATATGTGTATAGATCTATTTGATATTAACCAGTTTTGGAGTTTAAAATTTTATAATTGCTTTTGAAAATAGATTTTCAAATAATTCTAATATTTTTTTACAGCAAAATTACATGATAAAATTTGGAGGTGCACCTTAATTGGATTATTTAAGGTTGCAATCTTATAGAAGCCTCACCCTTTTCATATCTAATTATAAAATTTTAAACTCTAAAAATGGTTAAAATCAAGTAGATCTATAAACATATCAAAATCTTGAAAATGAACCATAATGTATTGCAATATGCACTATCTCTAGGATTCAATTTTTTATTTTTTTTATATTTATAGATTTCGATGTTTAGATGATAAATTAGAGGGTTTATCAACATTAAAACAACTTTTTCTGATCGATTTTTGAGATGCATCTCCTAGAGATAGTGCATATTGCAACACATTATCTAAATTGTTCATTTTCAAGATTTTGATATGTTTATAGATCTACTTGATTTTAACCATTTTTAGAGTTTAAAATTTTATAATTAGATATGAAAATAGATTTTCAGATAATCCTATGAATTTTTTACTCCAAAATTATATGTTATAGTAAAATTTGGAGGTGCGCCTTAAATGGATTGTTTAAGGTTGCAACCTTATAGAAACCACACCCATTAAGATAATGTCAAGACAATTGGCATGTATTTTAAAATAATATAATGGGCGTGGTTTGCATAAAGTTGCAACTTTAAACAATCAAATTAAGACGCTCCTTCAAATTTTATCATAAATGGAATTTTGGTATAAAAATTTCTTAGGATGGCTTGAAAATTTATTTTGATATTTGTTTTAAAAATATTTAAACAAAAAAAATAGTCCAAATCAAGTAGATCTATAAACCATTGGTTTAAAAAATGCTACGTTGTCACGGAATTGCCCTGTCCGACTGGGGAATCGGTCACCGCTTTCTGATTCTACATATATAAAAATGGCTGAGTCTAGAAAGGAACAGGTGGTTCTGGAGAGTAAAACAACAATCCAGACCGGTTTTTGCCCAGTTCAATATTTTTTCACATATTTTTCGCCGGTTCACTATGTTTTATGTACAATAAAACGACGATTCGGACCACCGATTCACCGATCCAGACTAGTTTTTGGGGTGCTCAATCCATTTTTTAAATCAATGTTATAAACAGATGGAAATCTTGAAAATGGATGGTCAAGTTAATGTGTTGCACGATACAATATTTTTGGGACTCAAAATCTTTATTCTTTTTCATATTCAAACATCTAGATGTTGATCAATTAGAAGGTTTTCCAACATCAAAACACCTATTTATGATGGATTTTTGAGGTGTGCCTTAATTCTACATTTTAAGATTGCAACCTTATAAAACTTTTTTTTTAATAAAAAATCTATATTGTCTAAACAAAATAGATGGTGTTAATTACTACAAATTTATTTTATAAATCAGATGTCCACCTTATACCATACAAGTAAAGACCTCTATTTACCCAAAAAAAAGTAAGGTGCACCTCTAAATATTGCCGCAAGATGTAGTTCTGGTGTCAATAACCTTATGATAGCTTAAAAATCTATGTTCAACTCTAATTATAAAATTTAGAATTTTAAAAATAGTACGGATCAAATGTATCTATAAACAGTTGAAAATCTTAAAAATAGACCATCTACATAATTTATCACAAGATGTACTATTTTTAAGATTTAAATTTTATTCATATTTATACAACTTGTTAAGATGGTCAATTGGAAGGTTTTCGAACTTCAAAATACTATTTTCTAATGGATTTGTGACGTGCACCTTAATGTTGAAACCTTGTATGAACCTTTCTCTATCATGTAGAACAAATTCTTTGGAAAAGGAATAGGGGCCTAGAAATAAGGGTCAGCAATCATTAAGAGGGCATTTTAAGAGGGCATTGGTTTTCCACTCACATGGAAGCAAACAACCGTCCCCAACCCTGTGTAAGTGGCACTGTTGCTCCCAAAATATAACAATAAAAAACCTTTCCAATATTGACAGAGGCGATAAAAAGAGAAGAGAATTCCAGTTATCTCTGCCTTTCCAAATGGCGACAAATCCAAGGACGTCAAAAGCCAAGAGTATCTCGTTAGGATCCCAACCACTTTTTCGATGCTCTCTCTCTCCTCACAAGACGCGAATATCGTTTGACATGATAAAGGGGTAATATTTGGTTGAATATCTTTTGGCATAATAAAGGGAAAAATATTTGATCAAGCCTTACCTCAAGGAATTCGTAGCTCTAGCATAGAAAAACCTTCAAATTCGTCCTCTCGAACTTGACTCTTATGAAGTTCTAGCATAAAAAAAACTTTCGAAATTTACCTTCTTGACCTTGACTATTATGAGAGAATTTGTAGTTCTAACATCGAAAAACCTTCAAATTCATCCTCTCGACCTTGACTATTATAGGGGGAGTAGGGTTGGGTCGTGATGATAGTATCCACGACACCGTAGTCACCGGGTTATGGTTTTTATTCTCACTTATACCACCCCACTAATATTTTTTAAAAAAATTAACTCCTAAACTATTTGAAAAATTGGGTAGGAGCCATTTTATAATTTTAAGATAATTTATGTTATAACATATTATTTATACCATCTAGTTCATAATCCATGTGGGAATTGATTTTTTGCCCACGTGCTTCATACTAGGATTGAAGGTGAGGCTTTACTTTGTCTTTAACTTGCATCCATAAATAAAATGACCTCGTTTTTGGCCAAAAAAAAAAAAAAAATTATAATTGGAACTGCTCAAAATGTACCCAAATTTCTTATTACCAAAGAAAAAAAAGTTTATACACAGGCAAAGCCCTAAACAATCAAATTAGGACCACCTCAAAAATTCAATGCTAAAAAATTCGTCAAATTGAAATCACACCCGCAAGACCCTTGTCAAAACTCACCCTCGATTCGTTTTATTTCATTTCTTTATTTTCTCCGTTGCACTAATTACGAATAACAAACACAAAAAATAAAAATAAAAAATAAAAAGATCCCCCTCGCTATCGCTCGCGCCAAGGCATGGACGGCCGGAGAACAAACTTTCCGGTCGGTACGAAATAATAAGCCAGAGGATTCCAAGCGCCCAATTTCAGGCCAATATATGTGCCGGACAAATAATTTCCGGGGGTTGAAACCTGCATTTCTCAATTTCGCCGCTAAACAAATGGCCACGATCTGGTTTTTTGGGCAACTAAGAAGGGTTGAGCTGGAACCCTAATTTTCTCCCACTCTTCAATCTAAGAAAACTGTACAGTTTCTTGAGCTCCAAAACCGATTGAACCTCTCTTTTTATCACCCCACAATTTTCCGGCGATCCCTCTTCTGGCGAAGATTGCCTCTCTCCAAAGCCCACGCCTCTTCCGGCACGATTTCCGGCCGAATTGACAGCCAATTTACAGGAGCGGCTGCTGCTCTGCAACGCATTGATCACTGACTTTATGGCACGGCTTGGTGAGCTCTTGTTAACCATGAGGATCTCACCTATTTCAGCTGGTGTCAAAACCCCACCTGAATCGAACGATTCTTTGACATGGGGGAAAAGCTTATGATCTTTTACCCCCAAATAGCTATTCGCCATGGCTTTGAAGGCCGGAAAAGTACAGTGAGGAAAACATACCTGGACATCCAGGCGACCCGGTCTTAGAAAAATGGGTTCAATCACTTCTTTGTTCTCTGAACTCATGGTGAAAACCATGATCCTCTCTTCAACGCAGCTTGACCAGAGACCATCCATGAAGTTGAGGACCCCGGAAAAGCTAGGGCTCCCTTTTCCGGCGAGGTTTCCGCCCAAAAAGCGGTCAATGTCTTCAACAACGAGGATCGAGCGACCTGATGTTTGCATTAGAGAGAGTTTGAGATCTGAGTCGTCGGTAAGGTTAGAGAGTTGCAGGTCATAGACATCATAGCAGAGGAAGTTCGCCATTGCGGCTATGGTGCTCGATTTACCAGTACCCGCTGGCCCATAGAAAAGATAGTTTCGTTTCCATGGCCGGCCTAGCTTCTGATAGTAATTTCTCCCTTTAACAAAAGCTTCGAGGTCCGATTTGATCTTGTTCTTGAGATCCGCATCCATGGCTAGGGTTTCAAAAGTTGCAGGGTGCTTAAAGGGCACCGATCGCCATTGATTCCCAGAAGCGTTGGTATGAAGCCTCGGCTCGCGCCTTCGAGCCTCCCCTTCGTTGGCCATGGCTTGAACGTGTTGCAAATAAGGCCTCAGAAACCCTGGTTTTGAAGCTTTCTTGATCTGCAACAGAAAGGCTTTCTCCGAAACTGGGGCCTCATGTTTCCACCAAACTGTTGTTCCCAAAAACGAGTCTTTGATCGCATGGTTCGAATCAGGTTGGAGGAAAAACTCGCCAGAGTTCTTGGCGTAGAGATTGGAGAAATCGGCGTCTTCAGCTTGAGAAAGAGCGGTAACGTAAATCGAGACCTTCGAGTAAAGCGAGTTTTTCTCGTTGCTGATGCCATTGTGTTCAGGGATTCGGTATATTCGGCAAGAATGGCGTCGATTAATTGCAGAGAAGAGGAGATGAAGGAGAAAAGCACAAAGGGCGATCGCACAGAGGATAGGGAGGAGGTTGGAGAGGGTCATCATTCCGGCGACCGGAAAAACCAGAGACGCCGGAAAATACAGAGGCTTCTTAGGGTATTTGATTTAGGCGAGAAATAAATGATTGGAAAGGAAAATTAAAAAGAAATTGCTTCAAACTTAAGGTACTGATCACAAAGCAAGCTACAGGCACTTGAATGATCCTGATAAGGAACTGGGATATAATTTGTTGTCCTAAAGGATCACTAAAAGGGATATTTGCCTCAATCCCTTAATCCAAAAATATAAGCCAGAGCCTCTTACCCTATTTCAGAGGCCTCTAATAAAATCAAAGTACACATTTCTCTGAAACTTCATTCCTATACCTCAATTTACCCATTGAAACCAGACACGATCAAGCACCCTCCATTGAGAAGGAAGCAAATGCCCCCAGATCAATTTACTGAGAAGAGAAACCTTTATCGCCTGAATCGTCTGAATCAAACTCAGACCACAAGTTTCCGGCAAAAAGCCAGAAACTCGTGCCTCAATAGAAGCCAGGAAACTGGAGAAGATCACGGAAATCACAAATTCCGGCACCGTAAAAGCAAGTTGCAGAGTCCTGTTCTTCCCCAATTAAACTGACTACTTCCTCCTCAACAAAAATAAAGCCCTAAATAAACAAACCCTAAAGTAATCTTAAGAGCCATTAAGGATTAAGCTTAAATAGTAATTGCAATAAGAGACGGCATCTACGCACGCTGACGCCGGCCGTGATAATCTGAGTCAAATACCAAGCCAGGGCAGCCGCCTTGCCTATTCCTAGACGTCTGCGCATTTTATATTTGGGAAAGTATACTATGCTCCTCCGGAGCATACTATTCGTCTACTTCCTCGAGCCAAACACCTATTTAGAAAGATTATTTTACTCAAAAGTTCTAGGAGCCACAAAAAAACTATTAGATTATTATTTTCAAAAAAAGAATTTGAATTTTGATTTTTATGATACTTATATCTACCACTACAAATATTGGACGGCCTGTATTTAATCCCAAGACATTTATTTTTTTAAGAGTAACATACAAAGTCTATTTGAGATTTTTTAATTAAAATTAGCCAAGGTTTATGAAAACAAAATAAAACCTCACTTGAAATCCTCATTTAGAAAGTACTTTGGCAACAAACATATTTATGATGGCTCTAAAATCAATTTTCAATACAAATAATAAAATTTGAAACTAAAAAAATAGTACAAATTTTACGAATATGTGAACTCTTATTTTTAAAGTAAAATAAGTAATATAAATAATTTGTTATAATATACACTATTTTTAGAGATTGAAATACTAATGTTTTTCACATCCTTTGCGTTCAAGCCAAGATGTAAAAAATGAGGTTTTATCTATTTGGATAAGGTCAAATCACTCTCCACATGTACCCCTTAAAAGAACCCAATCTTTTAAGGACATATTATTATCATTTACGCCCACAGTTATGTTGCCAAATCCTAGAGAGGAACATTTTGATCCATATGAAAAAAAGGAAGGTGGAAAAGAATTGTATTTTGGTTTTGCAATGATTAGGTATTGGGGTTAAGAAATTATGACCCAACGTGATTTTCGGGAAATTCTTTTTATTTAAGGTTTATACCGCTCATTACATAGATCGCTATTTCGAGTGGAGGGGGATGATGACTGTAACACCCTATTTTTTTTGTCCCCCCATGAATATTGCCTTTGTGGGAAATGACCAAAACTGCCCCCAAATTTCGATGGTTATATTTAGAAGGGAAAAAGTTAAAAGAAAGTTATGGATACACCCTATTTGTCCTATATAGGGATTCTCACTCCAACACTTTTTAGTGGAATACTATTAACCCTAAAAAGTGTTTTTTTAACAACCACCCCCAATTATAAACGTCAAATAAATTTTTTTTTTGTATAAAAGGGTCACAATTATTATTTTTATAAGTAGATGTAAAATCCAATAAATGAAATTGTGTCACAATATTTGAGAAACTTTATCTTTAGATTTGTGTCTAAATAATAACACATTCTCAACCGTCCTATTTTAAATATAATGATGAACGATAATTGTAACCTTCTTATATCAAAAGTAAATGATCTCATTGTATATATTTCTTTTTTTTTAATCAAAATACGTTTTGTTTGCCAGGTTTCTCACTTTTTGTCTCTAACTCAGTTAACATTGAGCCTGGTGCATTTTAGAGCGGGCCAGGCACAAAAAAGTACCAAACCGATTTGTGTTGGACCTTAGGCGTCACATTGTGCAAACATGGGTTAAATGTAAAGTATTTTGGAAAAAAAATAACTTTTGCTCTCACAAGGGTAGTTGAAAAAAAGAATAGCAAAATTAATAATATGGTATAAAAATAAAAAAATTACAAAAACCAAGACTATACTTACCATGCAACTTACCCTTAATTTAACTTATCTCTTACTTTTTTTTCAAAAGTATATTTTCTATGCAAATACCACCCCAACCAAAAAAGTTTTTTTTTTTACAGAAATACCCTTCTCGTACAAAAATAATCAAGCTTACCACTTGCAAGGCCTTTACATGTGGTACTGCTGGAGCGGCAGTACATCGAAGCGTGGTCCGACAGTTTCAAAGCGCGGTCCGGCAATACATGTTCTGGAAGTACTGCCACTCCAGCAATTTCAATGCATGCTCCGGTAGTACCACATCGCTCTGGCAGTTTGAAAGCACGGTCCGACAGCTGTCGCTCCGGCAGTTACTAAGAGCACTCTGATAGAAAAGGTTCTATTAGTCATGCCGCTCCGACAGTTTCAAAGCATGGTCCAATAGTACATGTTCTGGAAGTACTACTGCTCCAACAGTTTCAATGCACGCTCTGGCAGTACAATATCACTCCGGCAATTTAAAGCATGGTCCGACAGTGGTCACTCCGGCAGTTTTAAATAGCACTGTAGCAAATAAGGTTTTGTTAGTCACAGCGCTCCGGCAGTTTCAAAGCGCGGTTCGGTAGTACATGTTTTGGAAGTACTACCGTTTCAGCAATTTCAATACACAAATCATGCAATACCACATTGCTCTAGCAGTTTGAAAGCATGGTTCAACAGTGGTCGCTCCGACAGTTGTAAAGAGTGCTCTGGCATATAAGGTTATGTTAGTCACAACGTTCCTGCAGTTTCAAAACGCGGTCTGGCAGTACATGTTCCGAGGTACTGCTGCTCTAGCAGTACCATATGTGGAGACCTTGTAAGTGGCGAAATTGATTATTTTTGTATAGAAAGGGCATTTTCGTCAAAAAATGAACTTTTTTGGTCGGGGGATATTTGCTTAGAAAGTATACTTTTGGAAAAAAAGTGAGAGAATAAGTTGGGTTGCGGTTAAGTTGCATAGTAAGTGTAGTTTTGAAAGTTTTTTTATAATTTTTCTATAAAAATATTAAAAAAAATATATATGCCTAAAAAAAGTACACATTAAGAGTACTATTATTTTCCCAAAATGTTACTAAGGAGATTATCATATTACCCCTTTCCCAAATTCCGTACCTAGCGTCCTGTATTTTTACCATGTCAAATTTTCCTGTACCCCCTCCGCTTGCGCCCTCATTTTTCTTTTTCGTGCTCCCAAATTATACTCGATTGAATCTGTCAATTCCATGCATCTTTTTCGTATTTTTGCACCTATAATCCACTGGTTCATAATTAAGCACAATACTACTACTACTAATACCCATCTCCTTTACTTTCTTGATGAATTTAGGGTCCGTTTCGTTTTATGGAACTAGGCGGGAGTCTAATTTATGTGTAGAGACTGAGTCGGGGACTATTAATAAATCGGCTCACCATAAAATTAGAAAAAAATCGTTTTTATTTTAATAAGTCGGATGAAAAAATCAGGTAAAAATTACGGATCTGCAAAAATACTTCATGTAAAGATATCGCCAATATATCGAACTAGCTCAAAAAATCGGAATATAAAATCGGATAATTTTAAAATATTAGAAATTTTGAAATTCTAAAAAATAAAAATTATGTCAAAGCCATCAATATCTAATCCATCCATAAAAATATACCATATAAATTTGTTCATTAAATACTTTAACAAACATCACACGTACTTAAATTTGTTCATTAAATACTTTAACAAACATCACACCTACTTAGTATGAACAAAAAAAAATACATTAGTTTTTTTCTCATTAAAATGCTTTAATTATGGTATAGTGACTATGGTCACTCTATAACTATGGTTAAAGTTTATATGAAATTTTTTAATTGGTGTGGTTTGTGTAGAGCCGAGGCTCTAAACAATCAAAGCAACGCATCTTCAAATAGTGTCGAGAAATATGATTTCAATACTGAAAATCTTTGTGATAGCCTTAAAATATACTTTTATCTTTAATTATAAATTTTAAAGCTTTAAAAATAATGTGGATCGAGTAGATCCATGAAAACTTGAAAATCTTGAAAATAGACAGTCAAAAAATGTGTTACAAGATGCACTATTTCCAAAACTTGAAATCCATTTTTTTTCTTATGTCCATGAATCTTGATGTCGAGATGACCAATTTAAGGATATTTGGGCATCAAAACAATCTCTTATAGTGAAATTTTTCAGGTGGGCTCTAATTTTATTGTTTAGAGCCTCGGCTCTATGTAATCTTTTTCCTTTTTTATTTGAAAACAGGGCTGGTTAAATACACATTTGGGTTCGAGTTCTCTGTTTCAAAAGGATGTTTCCAGAGAGGGAAAAGGGGTTCTAGTTCTTTGTTTGGGTGCTCTGAATTTAAAGGATTTTACAAGAGCATCTCTTGCCCTTCTTTTTGCGATCGAAGAATCCATGGCTCTTCGATCAGCTTCACCCCTACCAGTCATTGCAAATCTATTCATAGAGAGAGAAGAAATTTGAGTGGCTGCTACAATAGTCTTTGCAGTTGAGAGATTCATGATTAGTCTAAAATTAGGAGATAGAACACAAGTTCCTATCAACTCCCCACCCTTTCTTATTAGAATCACCATTATTTGTGAAAGGAAAGTTAGGGTTTGTGTAGTGAGCGCAGGCACGCAAACATTCAAGAGAAACACAGGTCGAATGTGAAACTGAGACACACATTAAGCACTTAACGCCATCAATTAATGGCGCCTCCTCAATGTAAACTTCAAAGCAACTAGGGCAAAACAATTCTAAGTAGGATTTCAATAAGCAAGAAGTGCAGGGATGGCAAAGGTAACTTTGGGCTTAGGCAAAATTTGGGATGCTGATTTTTTACTTGGGGATGCTGATTTTTAGGGAGAGAAAAGGATAGAGAATTCGAATAGAAAAAAAAAGAAAGAAGACAGGTAAAATAATATGATTTTTTGGTCTGGTTTAAATCGTTTTATGAAAAAATAGTGTTTTAAACGTTTTTATGAAAAACGCGCGATTTTTTGCTGAACTTTTGAAAAAGACAGTTCTAAACTGTTCCAATAAAGTCGCCGATTTTTTTAAAATCGCCAATTTATCGGAGATTTGTTAACTATGGTAGAGACCAATTTCCCTGTTTTAAACTTTTTTTTTTTTTTATGGAAATGTCAATTTTACCAAAATACATGGATTTAACATTTCGAGGAGATTGACAGAGAGCCAGGCACCCTAAAAAATTGCGGTAAGTTATACTTTATAGGGTTACGGTCCGCCCAAAAAAGGTACCTCAAACGCTGGAGCTATAATTGTTATAATAATTGATATTTAATAATTAATATATGATAAGTACATATTAATTAATAGGTGTGGTTTGTAGAAGGTTGAGGACTTAAAATAGTGCC